AAATTCTTCCTTTCCTATCTGGATCTCTTTTATTTCTTTCTGTAATCTAATTGCTCTGGCTAATTTTTTCAAGAACTATACTGAATAGAAGTGGAGGTAGCAGAGATCTTTGTCTTAGTCCTGATTTTAGGGGAAATCTTTTAGATGGAAATCTTCCATCTTTAGGGAAATCTTCTCTCTATTTTTTAGTATGATGCTGGCCATTGGTTTGTCATAGATGGCTTGTATCAGATTGAGATACAGACCTTCTATACCTGTTTCTTCAGGGTTTTTTATGAATGGATGTTGAATTTTGTCAAATGCTTGTTTATCTAATGAGATAATCATTGATTTTTATAGTGGCTTCTTTTTACATGGTATATTACATTTATTGATTTGTATAGGTAAAGCCATCCCTGTACCACTGGAATGACTCTTACTTTGTCATGATATATGAGATTCTTGATAATTTATCTTTTTCTGTTTGCCAATCTGTCACAATAACCAATAATGGGTCACAAATGAAATTAAAGAAGAAATCAGACAATTTCTATAATTAAATGACAATGTCAATACAACAACATATCAGAATCTATGTGACACACTGATAGCAGTCTTATGAGGAAAATTCATAGCAGTAAATACTGATATTAGGAAAAAAGAGTGAGCTCAAATAAATAAGCTGATGCTGAACCCCACTCTTCTAGAAAAAGAAGAGCAGGGCAAACCCAAAGGTCATACAAGGGAGGAAATTATAAAGATCAGAACAGAAATCAATGCAATGAAGACTAAGAAAATGATACCAAAAAATCAATGAAGCAAGGAGTTGGTTCTTTTAAAGAATAATAATAAAAAAAAAACAGCATACCCTTAGCCAACCTTATCAAAAAAAAAAGGGGGGGGGGAATAAATGCCTAAATCCATGCAATTAGGAATGAAACGGTGAAATTACAACAGGCTCAGCTGAAATCCAGAGGATCATCAATACATACTTTGAGAATATACAATATACCAATGAGATGGAAAACACAGAAGAAATGGGCATATTCCTAGATATATATGAATTACTGAATGTGAACAAAGAAGACCTAAAAATTCTAAACAATCCAATATCAATCAACAAAATTGAAAACATAATTAAAAACTTACCAACTAAGAAAAACATGAGCCCTGATGGCTTCACTGCTGATATCTACAAGACATTTAGAGAACTATTCCCATTACTGTTTAAACTCTTCAATGAAATTAAAAGGGAAGCAAGACCCCCAAATTCATTCCTGGAAACAAGCATCAAATTGTTCTTAAAAGCACAGAAATACCTAACCAAAAAGGAGAACCATAGGTCAATCTCACTAATCAACACAGTTGCAAAAATTCTTAATAATGTACTGGAAAAGAGAATGCAGGGAATCATCTAGAAGATCAAAGACTCTGACTAAGAAGGATGCATCCCATGGATGCAGGGATGGCTCAACATACTCAAATCAATAAATGTAATACACTATATTTATAGAGCCAAGGACAAAAACAATATGATCATAACAATAGATGCAGAAAAAATTCAACAAAATCCAACACACATTCATGACAAAAAACTCTACAAAAATGGAACATATGGTCTGTATCTCAATCTGATAAAAGCCATCTATGAAAAGCCAACAGCCAATATACTAAGTGGTCAAAAACTGAAATCCTTCACACTAAAGTCAAGAACAATACAAGGATATCCACTATCACCATTCCTGTTCAATATAGTTTTGGAAACATTAGCCATAGCAATTAGACAATAAAAATAAATAAAAGAAATAAAGATAGAAAACAAAGAAGTTAAATTATTATTATTTGCAGATGATATGATACTCTATATAAAAGACCCCAAGAACTCCACCAAAATTCTTCTAGACTTGAGAATCAAATTCAAAACAGTAGCTGAATACAAAGTTAACACACACAAAATCAATAGCCTTCCTATATACAAACAACAGAGTCACTGAGAGAAGAACTGGAGAAAAAAATTCTTTCACAATAACATCTGAAAAGATGAAATACCTAGGAATCAATCTAATGAAATAAAACAAAGATCTCTATTCTGAAAAGTATAGCACTCTGAAAAAGGAGAAGAGGATATCAGAAAATGGAAATATATCCCTTGCTCCTGGGTAGGAAGAACCAACATAGTGAAAATGGCTATACTTTCAAAACTACTACATACATTCAATGACATCCCAATTGAAATTGTAACAGCGTACTTCACAGACCTTGAGAAAACAATCCAAAAATTCATTTGGTACCTAAAGAGACCTACAATAGCAAAAGCATTTCTAGACTACAAAGACAAGATAGGTGGTATCATAATCCCCAACCTAAAACTACACTACAAAGCTAATGTGAAGAAAAACAAAACAAAACAAAAAACCAGCATGGCACTGGCAAAGAAACAGGCCTAAGTATCAGTGGAACTGATTAGAAGATGCAGAAATAACTTCAGACACACTCAGCCACCTCATCTTTAACAAAGGAGCTAAACACCCTCACTGGAGGGGTTTCAACATTCCAAAGGCTATAACCAGACCTATATTTCTTACCATGCACTAAACTAAAATAGAAATTGATTAAGGAGCTAAATATTAAAGCAGAAACACTGAACAAGCTGACAGAGAGATTAGGTAGAACTCTTGAAGACATTGTCCTAGGAAAATGTTTCATAAACAAAATCTCAGTCACATGTTAACTCCACAGTTGGTAAGAGTGTAGATTGGTGCAACCAATGTGGAAATCAGTATGGAGATACCTCAAAAAACTAGGGTTAGAGGTCCCATTTGACCCAGCTACCTCTGCTGGGTAACTTCCCAAAAGAATTGAAAGAATCATACCACAGAAATATATGTGCACCCATGTTCATAGTAGCACAGTTTGTAATAGCAGCTTGGAAAGAGTCCATTTGCCCATCAACTGAAAACTGGACAAAGAAAATATGGGGTTTATTTTATAAAATGGAATACTATTCAGACATACAGAATGAGAAAGTAGAGATTATTTATATCTAAATGGATGTACATTGAAGTGATATTCTTAAGTGAAATAAATAGGACATGTGTAAATACCAAATAGTTTCACTGGTGTGAGAAAATGAAAGTGTAAATAAGAATAAATATAATTTTACTATAAATGTAAAATATATAGTTGATAATGCAAAATAGCAAGAAAAGGTCTACAGAGGAAGTGGGAGGGGAAGGGTAAAAGAAAGGAAAAATTGTAAACCAAGTCTTTTAAATAAGGAGCAGATAGATTGAAGGGAGGGCAGGGGAAAGGGGAAAAAAATAAGAACTAAGATATATTACATAAAGGTACAGTCTTCCAAAAATGAATGTCAGCATACTGTATACCTAAAATGTACCAATAAAATTAATGGAAAATAGAAAAAAATGCTGATTTCACTTTATTTTTGTTAAATAGGACATAACTGTGAAATATTGAATTGGAATAAAAAGCTTCTCTCAGAAAATCAAGGCTGATGTTTAAGAAATATTCTGTGTTAGAGACAGGAATCAGGAAAAATGAACTTTTAAAAATCAGGCAAATGATTGCAGTTATCTGCAGAAGAGAGAATAGAGAAGAAGAGAATCATACACAAATGAGGGTTTAAATAAAACATAATAATTTAATAAAATTTGAAAAGAGTTATCAGTATGATAAAATCAGGCAAGAGTAGAAGCATAGCAGTCAAAGGAGGAGAAGCGGAGATTGTGGCTGGTCATTTTGATTGTTTTAAAGTACTTTAGAATGGGGATCGAAAAGTACACTGGATTGGTAACAAATGTCATTGAAAATGGGGATAAAAATGGACTGAGTGAAGTTCTGATGATGGAAAATGGACAGTGAAGAGATGAAGTTAAAATTATGGAAACTCTAATGAAAACAAAAATGCTTGGTTAGTAAAAACAGAAAAAAAGGCTGGGTGTGGCGGCATGCGCCTGTAATCCCAGCACTCAGCAGGCTGAGGCAGGAGGATTGCTGAGCTCGAGACCAGCCTAGGCTACATAGTGAGTTCCAGGTCAGTCTCTACTACCTAGTGAGACCCTGTCTCAAAAAACCAAAAACAAAAAGAACAGAAAAAAGGAGTTGCACCTGTAAGAAAATCTGGGAATTCATGCATTAGACAAGGAAATTTCCAGTAGTATATAAAGACTGGGAAATATATAAAGGCAAAAACTTCACTCAGTCTCAGTTTGGAGGGCTAAACATGAAGACTGAGTGGTATCATTTGTTTGGTTTCTGGTGCAGGCTTCATGGTCCATGGCACCAAGTTAGGAGCACATGAGAGAGGGGTCAAATGGTGACAGAAGAAGCCAGAGAGGGATTCAGAAGTCAGCCTTGATCTTTTATAACAACTCAATCAGAAACTAAACAAGGTCCCATGAGAACTTGTTTCATCTCTGTTGAGGGCAGCACCCGCAAAGATCTAACCATCTTCCAATAGAAGTCACCACTTAAAACTCCCACTATCGCACATCACCATTATGAAAACCAAGCCTCCCACACAAGAACTCATGGGGGATGTGCCACATTCAAAGTAACATGCAGATTTTTTTTAATTTGGAAGACTGTAGTACATATAATCTAAGGGGATTAATGTAGTAAGGAAAATTTTGCTACGTCAAAAATTAAAATTGGCTTTGTAGCATTCATGTAAGTTGAGAGCATGACTTTGCGGGTACTGGGGTGCACTTTTTTATTAGAAAGGAGAAAAGAAGGAACTCATAGGGATTAATGTAGAACAACTGTTTGTTGTAAGTATATTATAATTGTATAGTTATGTGTGGTTTATAAAATACTTTCAGGGGCCAGGGCTTTAGCTCAGTGGTCGCATTGCCTGCCTCGCAAACACAAGGCCCTGAGTTCAATCCCTGGTACCAAATAAAGAAATAAATAAATAAAACACTTTCAGACTGATTCATGTTCATTACATATAACTGTTACTAAAATTTAATGAATTATAAAAACTAATGCGTGTCTAAGAAAAGAAACACATTTGGTTATGCTTTCTCTACATGGGTTTATTTTGGATTTTACAATTTTGATTCAAGATGAATGGCAATAAAGGGGTCTTCAGCAGAGTTACTAATAGAAAAATGAGCCTTGCCATCATCAGAAACGTAGATTTTAATTCCTGTGCAGTTGCCATCAACTTTATCTCCAGAAATGACATCACAATATGTGCCAGCAGGTAGACCAGTTTGCAAAGGTGATGACAGTGACCTGAAAAATGCAATTTAATATTTAACTTTAATTTAAATCAAATAAATACAAGAAAGCAGACTATTTCTGAAATAAATGAGCAGTTTATAACTCTAAGCATTCAAGGTCTCAGTAAGAAGAAAATCCAAATCTAAATACTTCACAGACTTTTCCTAAGGGCCAAAAATAATCTTATAGAACACCTAGCAATTTTTTATTCAAAAATATATATGTAACTGTACTGTATACCTAAAATGTACCAATAAACTCAATGAGGAAAAAAGTGATATACACATTACTTATTTATTTAAATAGGATTAAGCTAAAATGAACTAACCATGATAGAACAATAATAATTTTTCAAGCAGATGTATAAAAATATATATCTTATGGTCAATGATCTTCCTCTGAATGTTTTTGTGTTTGTATTTTAAAACTTCCCAGTGATGAACTTTTATTTGTAATACTTGAATTATATTTCTGTCTTAAGATTTCCTCATATTTAAAATTGTAGTTACTAAGACCTTTTTGGAAGTCTTTGAAATAACTCAGTCCAAGGATAACTTCTACTCGTGGTTAGCTCATAAATAATCTTCACCTTCCTGACTCTATAATTATTATCCATTATAGAGAGACAGGAAAGTGCAAGATACAAACCAGAGAAGCAGATAGAGGAGGAGCTGAGGTACAGAGCTGGAGGGGGATGATATTCTAGTAATAAGTTCAAATCATATTCTTTTAGTCATTTCACAACCTTTACATTAACTACTGGACTATCACTGTATTAACTAGAGAATGTGATGAGAACATATATATATATATATATTGGGGGGGCAGGGGAAAGGTACATAAAAGGAACTCTACTCAAAACAGATAACTTTTACCAAACGAAGGAATCTGAAAAGATCCAAAATCATTTTTCTTCCATACTTTTCTCATCTTCTTCATATATTCTCTTTTTTTTGGTACCGGGGGGTCAAACTCTGGTCCTTGCGCTTGCAAGGCAAGAGGCAGAACTCCTAAACTAAATCCCCAGCTATGTATTCTTAATCCACAGAGTGAAAGACTTTGGGGAGGGGAGGAGGGTGTGAAGGGAGGGCAGGGACAAGGGGAAAAAATGAGAACCAAGACCTGTCATGTAAAGGTACAAGATCCCAACAATGAATGCAACTGTGCTGTATCCCTAAAGCGTACCAATAAACTCAATTAAAACATAAGTATGAAAAAAGACATCTTAATTATGATAAAAAGTAAACAAGTAGGAAAAGAAAAGAATAAAAAAGAACATAATAGAATAAAATATTAATTCTAATTGACATCTACTCACCAGTCATCATTGTTAAAGACAATGAATCCTCTGGTTCCTCTTCCAAAAGCTACTTGGTTGCTACCATTATCCCACCAGTGGGAGAAAGGCTGGCCATCGACCACATTTCGGAAAGCAACCATGTTCCTAAAAGCACAAAATCATTAAAGATTCTGATATCTGCCAACTTTAATAAAATAAAATGTTAAGAAAAAATTCCTATTAGAGGATATTGCTCAATAAATATTCCTACCTTATTTGACGCCAACGATGTTCACAGATCCAGTCATTGCCACAGGTAGTGTCTGGGTTAATAGTTACTTCTTTAGTCACTCCGTTATGATTTGGTGGCCCAGTCCAATCATTAACATCCTTAATTATTAAAAAAAACTCGGATTTTTAATGTGTACACATATTTACATCTTTTTATTTTTATTGGTACATTTTAGATATACATAATAATACAATTCATTATAGAAAAGTTTTACCTGTACATGGTATATCTTGCTTCTTTTTTCCCATTCCCCTCCCTTCAATCCCTGTTCCCACCCTTATTTACAAAAATTTTTGTTTCCATCTTTTCCTTCTATTTTTTTCCTTGCCCCTTATTTCCTTTCCCTCTTCCCTCTCCCTTGTTCCCTTTCTCATTTGAACATTTTCTTACCTTTTCCAATTCCTATTATACATTTTGGCCCTTATTAACACTTTTGGTTTCTCATACTAGAGAAACAATGTAATATTTGTGTGTCCAATTTATTTCACTTAAGAATATTATCTCAAGATGCATCCATTTAGATAGAAATGTCTCAAGCTTATACTTCTTTACAGCAAGGTAGTACTCCACTGTATGAAAAAAAAAAAAAAAAAACCTACATCTTTCTCCATTCAGCCTGGCTGCTTTGTTTCTGCCATGTCTTAATTTAGCTCCCTCCACATTTTTATGGACCTTTACTGAGTCTTCATCATCCTGCAGACTTTCATTCTTCAGTGCCATATTCAAACCATGGTAACAAATTTTTATCCTTTAATTTTCTTTCCAAACATAAGCTTCATAGTATCACAGTTCAATGCCATTGAGAGAGCAAGAACAACAGTGTCGGGAACATTAGAATTAAAATATAGACTCCAACTAGCAAAAAAAAAGTCAATACACATAACTTCCATGTAACTCAGTTTTCTGATCAGCAAAGTAGGGATATTGCTCGGTAGCTATAAAAATAAAGTAATATATGTGAAAATGCCTGGCCTATAAAATTGCCAAATTAGTTTATTTACATACTAACTTTTGGATAAACATTCTAATTATCATATCCTAGTAACCATTTCTAAATGACAAAATTTTTAATATTATGTCTTTTCCTTCTGATGGCAGCACTCAAGATATTTCTAAGAAATCTAGAGTGATTCTTGAAAGAATGTAAGTGTAAAATTATGTCATATGATGAATTGTGAAAAAACCTAAGCATTTATTGTAGCATACAGAAGTACTAAAAAAAGGAAATGGAAATAATCCATGACTGGTGACATCAATTAGATGAAACCAATCAGAGAAAGCCCAATTAGAGAAACTATTGGCAGTCATTTCAATATAAAGAGAAATATTCTAAATATCAAAACTCTCCAACAGTAGAATGTATTGTTTTGTAGAGTAGTGAACTTCTTGAAGTGAATCTAGGAAAATAATTAGATATTTGTCTGACATGTAGGGAAAAGGAATTTCTGCTTTAGGTATAAAGATATTTGATGGTTGCCAGGTGTGGTGGCACACGCCTGTAATCCCAGCACTTGGGAGGCTCAGGCAGGAGGATTGCTGTGAGTTCGAGACCAGCCTGGGCTACACAGTGAGTTCTAGGTCAGTCTCAGCTACATAGTGAGACCCTGTCTCAAAAAATCAAAAGCAAAAAGATACATGATGGTGATTCTGAAATTTTAAGTTTAAAATGAAATTCTTCTCCTAGCTTCAAAAAATCTTCATAGCCCTATTTCTCAGTTCTTTTTAAATTGCTATTCAGACTGGTGCCTTTATGATACTTCAAATATTTTTCTTCTTCTTATTATTATTCCTGGAATACACTGCAAATTTCTATTTTATAATATGCACAATTTCCTTCCTCATATTTCCCCTAGTTAACTTTGGCTCAATTGAATCATTCCTTTCCATAACATACAACTTTTTTAAAAAAAATTAACAAATGTCTTTTTTTCCTCATATATGAGCAAGAAATGTTTTAAGTTCTTTATAAGTGTCAGCATGTATAATCCTCATTCAAACACTATGAGGTAACTATGAAAAGTACATATTTTAGTCTGTGTCTTGCTCCTATTCTTAAGTGATTTTTTTTTTCCTTAATGGCAGGTGGATATTAGCTAAATTTCTGAAAGTTTTCATAGTCTTTGCCAACAAAGAACAGAAATTTTACTTTTTAACATCCTCTATACTACTTAAACCAGAATCTGCACTCGGGTTTACAATTTAACTCTTTAGTGAATAAATGTCAAGTACAATAGCCTCATGTGACATTAAAACTGCCTGTTCTTCTTAAGACAAAAGATACTTTAAACAACTGTAAAACTTACTTTTCCATTCTTAACATGTCTTTGCCAATAGTAGCTTGACATCACTCGTGTTATTCCATAAGGATGAGCGAGCATAAATCCAACAGCCATTTTATACAGTCTGAAAGTTATGAAATGGAATTGTAATAGAAGAATATTTTACCCTTCATTAAAAGATAGGCAAAAACTGTGGAAAATATTATTTCCTACCTAGCGTCCCAGAATGTAAGAACAGAGGCTCCTCCCGCTCCGTGACCTCGCTGATTGTCATGGTTATCCACAAAGACAAGGGCTCTGTCAGAAGGCATGAAGCCACATCCTTCTCCCCAGTTCCTATTTAAAAATATATACATGTATATATATATATTAAATATCTTCATTCTTTTATAAGAATCGGCATCCCTTTCTATGTAACATTTTCAGATAAATTCTCTAAATGTAATGCATAAGATTTTGTTATATAGAGAGAGTTATATGTAATTATATACATAATTATATTTATGTGTATACATGTGATCTACAAATATATTACATATTTGCACATATGTATGAATGATTATATTCTATTCATGTTCTAGATGTAATATTCTTCCTTTTAGAAAAGTTTCTTTTGGAATTTACAGGTTTCAGTATATTATAATTTAGATGAACTTCAGAAGTCAACAATAATATTACAATATATACATAGTGAGTTGGGTTAAAATAAGGCTTTAATACTGTACTTTTGTAACATAAACATTTTAGTATTTTAAATTAATTGGTAAATTCAAGAAAATTACACATTGTAGGTATTTCATTAATGGTAGAGACTTTTTTTTTTTTTTTTTTTTTTTTGTTACCGGGGATTGAACTCGGGTCCTTGTGCTTGCAAGGCAGGCCACCGAACCACTGAGCTAAATCCTCAGCCTTTAGAGTCTTTTTTTTTTAATAAACTGGATTTAACAGATTATTGGCAAATAATTGATAATGAAATCTAGAAGAATAATACAATACACAGGCTAAAGTCTCTAGGTGATGTTTTGGGTTTCTATAATATTTTCTTATGATTGAAAAATCTAAATAAAATTATGGTCATTTGGGATTGGTTAACTAATAGCATTTAATAACTCCTTGATTGTTATTTAAAAAGAAGGATCTAAGAATATTAATCATATTGGGGTTGTACTATTAATAGATTTGTGGAAAAATTCTAACAACAAATTATATTTTGCTTACTTTAAGTAAGACATCTTCTGTCCATTCCATTTGCGAATAACTGTGCCCAGTTTTGCACCGTACTTGAATTCTGTCACCCGGCCATTTTCAAAGTATTCACTACTTTTCACAGCTTCACCACCAAGATCAATTACCTGGTAGAAACACAGGAGAAAATGTAGCTTTAAATAAGAACTTTTTAATGTATGATTAGTATTGTATTAAAAATAACTTTAAAGGAGTAAGTATGCTATTTGAAATGCTCCATATAATTTTTCTTGTTATCAAAATTATTATTTTTGAAAAAAGTATATGCTACAGTATTGAAATAAACTTGATGGGGTGTCCTTTCATCCTATAAGAAGGGTAGCCATATTTATTGTTTTGTACAAATTATAACAATATTAGCTCACACTAACATAGCATTTACTATTTGATTAATATTTCTAATGCTTGATAACTATCAAGTCATTCATCCAAGGAAAAGAAAAAATAAACATTGTTATTAGCCCATTTCTTTACACAAAGGAAGTACTGCAACAGCAGAGTTAATCAACTTCCCTAGAAACTCACACAAGTAAAAGAGATAGGCCCAAATAGTTAATAATGGTATAGCCAAGATCCAAACTCAGATAGATTAGTTTGAGACAACAAAACCTATATAATTTTCAGTCTTCCATACACCCTCTGGGAAGTGGTAAAGAGCCCAGTGAAGTTTTCAGCCTAAATAAATTCTCCAAACCTCCCTAGAACCTACTATAATAAAGAAATAGATGTGCTATAATTGCTACCTTTGAATAAAAACAAGTTAAGAAAATACTGCTTGATCTATATCACTCACCCATTAAATTACAAAAATGTACATTTACATATATTTAAATAAATGTGGCACTTATTTCTTGATGAACAAAATGCTATTTTATTGTGTGCATATAGATATATTTATGTACCTCCTGGTAAATGAAAGGTCGACTTCCTTCAGGGAACCAATTTGTGTTCAGATTATGCAGTTTATGCAAAATCTCCTTGATGTCTCCAGGCCACATATGTTTAGAAGCATCAAGTCTGAATCCTGCTACACCAATGGCAATGAGATTGTTCAGGTAGTCAGCAATCTTGGAACGCACATAATCCTTGTGAAGTGCAAGATCAAGAAGACCAGAGAGACGACAGTCTCGGACCTGTTGAGGCAAAAAATTTATGATTGATTCATCCCTGCTCCTCTGAAAATCCACTTAATTATTTATTCATTTACTTTTGCCTCAATAGATATTCACACAATGTCTTCTTTATACAGGACATTCGTTATATAGGGCATAGAAATGTTAACATTTTACAGTGGACATTATTTCAGTATAAAAATAAATAATGGATACGTAGGAAATAAAGGACATGAGCATTTTATTTTGTGAAGAGAAATTTTTCTTTTCTTTTCTTTTTCTTTTTGAGTGTTAGGAATAAAATCCACAGACCAGTGCTCTGCCTCTTAGCTATATCTTCACCACAGTGATTAGAGGAAAGTTTTTGAATGTTTTTTTAAGCAGCTAATACTAGTAATCTGCCTTGTTAGGAATCTAACCTAACGTCTAACATGCTATTTAATAACATACACATAAGCAACTAAAGGCACAGAGAGTCCTTGGTTCAAATTTTTATTTTTTTTAATCACCTGAAAAGCATCCTTATAGTTTTCAATGCCTCCACTTTCAGTTTTACATTTACCATCATTAAAATCCCAACCCGAATATGGAACTGCTGGAAAATCCCTATTATGAGGATTGTAGTAGCTTCCACAAGTACTGCTTGTTCCTGCAGCATTGCCAACAGCACACATGTGATTAATCACAGCATCCACATAAATTCGGACCTAAAAGGCAAAGTCTCTATTTCAGTTTGATTTTGGATAGATATCTAAATCATTATTGCACACTGACAATAGTCCAAAATATTTATTTTTATTTTATAATTTTATTTTCCTACAAAACCAAGTCAATTGTGAAAGAAAACGTGAAATGAATACATTATTTCTAATTACTTAGTTAAATGTTTATATAAATGATACATTTATATAAATGATAAGAAAACCACAAACTACCCTAATTATAACCGAATGGAAGGATCCATTTTTCAGAAGGCAAGAATAAGTTAAGGGAGGTCAATTTTATTGGAATTTCAGTGAGTCACCAGAAAAAAGAAGCAGTTAATGTCTTATTTAGAAGATGTAAAATCTATTCACTAACAGAAACCAATAGAAAAGTAACACAAGAAATTATATGTGGATACACAAATCTAATAAAATTGACAGAAACCACTGTCACTGTAATTTTCAATTCCTAACCAGAAAAGTGTTGATAAGAGATATGTATACTAGTTATAACCATAAAAATTTTGTTTTATAAATAAGCTCTTCTGAAACCTTAAAATGCCTTGTCTTTAGTAGATGAATGGTAAACACACAATGATTTACAACTGCTGAGAAGACAACTATTGATTTTTCAGTTAGCCCATTTATGAAGTAAATTTTTTTAAAAAATTAAAATATGAGAAGCTTTACCTTCAAAAAGGTACAAGGCACAGAAGCAATTATCTTCCTTTATAACATTTTAAAGGAAAATTGAATCCTCTTACCCCAACATTGTTACACCTCATCACCATATTTCTGAATTCCTCTTCATTTCCAGATCTTGAGCATAATTTGTAGCTAACTGGTTGATATCTTTCCCACCAGGGTCTATTAGGGTTGGTAATTATAATATTTTCATTGGGTGGAGAGACCTGCAAATAAAACAATTTTAATAAAGTTCCAATTATGGCTTACTTTGTATCGTTAGATACTCTAGAAAACTAATGAACTTTCTAAAGTATTTCTGATTCTTTCTATATACCACCACATTGTGCTATAATCACTTGAAAATACTAACAGCATATCGGAGATGTCCTGCTCATGTCCTGAGACAAATTAAAAAGCTTTCAACAATTCTTAAATTTTTCTTCCTCAGAAAACATGTTAGACTACATATGAATCAAAATATTGTTCTAGATCATCGAAACTGATTAAAATGGCATTTTCCACAAGCACAGTAAATGCTGAAATATATGATGCAATTAATACCTGAACACCCCCAAATCCCTTGGGACCTAAGTATCTCTCGCATTCCGCAGCAATGTCGGCCCAGCGCCACTCGAACAGGTGCACAATGGATGTGCGTCCATGTTGCGTGTGCGGAGAATACTGAGCCCAGCACAGCCCGATGGCTGAGACCAACAGAAGGAACTTCATCTTGCTGTGAAGTTGTCAAGCTTCTTTCTAGCAATTGTTTATAAACCTGTAAAAAAGCACATTTTACAAGGTAAAATTTAATATCAGTGCAAAGGTAGAGAACACCACCTGTTTATTTATCACCTGAAAATGATCATCAATCATAATGCTCAGCAGATAAAGACAATTCATCCAGAAAAAGAATATATAAATTTTAAATTTGCAATTTGAAACAATTTTTACAAAATTTCTGATTTTAACTCACAAGTGCAAAGTTCTGAGTTCAATCTCTGGTAGAAAAAAATTCTGATTTTATACAAATCACTCCTTTTTCTTAAAATGCTTAAACAACTTAATTTTAATAATTTTTATGTAGATTGTAATTAACATTACTTACAAACAATTGATTTATTTTATTTTTTATAGTATTTTAAACATTTATTCCAATTATACTTAACACTTTTAATAGGTTTTTTTTGTTGTTGTTAGGGATTGAACTCGGGTCCTTGAGTTTGCAAGACAGGTCACCGAACTGCTGAGCTAAATCTCCAGCCCTTTAGTTCTTTTTATATTACTTGTTAAAGCCAACTTATCAGAGAATTACATTTAACACTTTAAGCTATTTCCTTGCCAAATAAATCTCTAAAAGTTCCTGTACTTGAAACATAAAAAGGAATGGATATTGTACCTTACCTTGTTTTGTTTTTTGATGGTAACTGTTATTTTGAACCCAGAGCCTTTGCACTAAGCTACATCCCCAGCCTTTTTATTTTTTATTTTGAGGCAGGGTCTTGTTAAATTACTAAATTGTCCAGGCTATACTTTAATGGGCCACACGTTCCTCCTGCTTCGCCTCTTGCTGGGATTTCAGGTGTGCATCACTATGCCTGACTCATTACTTAAATTGTTTTTGGTTTTTTGAGGCAGGGTCTCACCATGTAGTTGAGAGACCTGGGACTATTTCAGGTGTGCATCACTATGCCTGACTCATTACTTAAATTGTTTTTGGTTTTTTGAGGCAGGGTCTCACCATGTAGTTGAGACTGACCTGGAACTCACTATGTAGCCCAGGCTGATCTCGAACTCACAGCGATCCTCTTGCCTCAGCCTCCTGAGTGCTGGGATTAAAGGCGTGTGTCACCACGCCCAGCATGTTACTTAAATTTTTAACAAAGATAATTATTATCCTGATTGCCTACTAATTTAGAAAAAACATATGATAGCAACATTAAAGAAAGTTTTACTTTTACCTTAGTAACACATTTAAATTAATTTGTTAAAGATTTACCTAAATCATGCAAGCAAAAGAATATTTGGACTCATTACTTCAGTGCTCACTCATCTGTAAGCCAATTTAAATAGATCTTGGGGGATTTTGTCTTGTAGAGACATGTAACAGGTATGCAAAAGTAGTACAGTAAAACATATAAGATCAAATAACCTTCACATTACCAGACCTAAAAAAATCTTGTTTGGGAGCCTGGGCATTTGGCTCAATGGTTCCACCGCCTGCTGGGAAAGTGCAAGGGCCCAAGTTTGATCCCCAGTACCAAAAAAAAGAAAAGAAAAATTGATGGTACTCAGGACTGATCCCTAGGCCTTTACACTGAATACATCTCCAGTCCATTTATTTATTTACTTCCTTTTCTTTTTTTCTGAAGCAGATTCTCACCAAATTTCCCAGACTGGGCTAAAACTTGCAGTTCTCCTGCCTCAGTCTCCCAGATTTTCACTTGCAAGTCTTATGTAAGCCTTGATCCAGTTTTACAGAGTGACATATTGGTATTTATAAGGCCTCTTTTTTTTTTTTAACTCCAAAATGAGGTTGAGTGTTAACCCTAGAATACTTAATAAAACCATATTTTTGTATACTTTTTTTTTTGGTTTTGCATTTTAGTAAAGACAGTAAAAGGAAAAAAAAAGACAAAAGCTTCTATATATGGCTGTATAATTGCACTTTAAGAATTATTTTGAAACTGCTCATGAGAAATACTGCAAATTACGCATGCCAATCAACTACAGAATTAAACACCACAGTGCTAAGCAAGAGCTTTCTTTCAATTAAAGCATCTTCTGCAGGGGGGCGGGGTATGTTCTGTAGTCAGGGGTCAATACAGAAAACACAAATCTCAGAATGTGGATCAACAGCAGGGAAAATCACGTAAAGCAACCTTTTGTCCATACAGATAGCAGCACAAGTTAGAACATAGCAATGAAGAGGGGACGATGGAAAACTTACACCTAAACAGAAATTTTACATTCTTGCTGGTCCTGTTAGCAGAACTATTTCCAGTAAGAGCTTAAGGTGTATTTCTACCTGTTATGAACACTAAAATAAGACAAGCTATTTTGAAAGATGAAAACAAGGACTACAAGTGGAAAGAAACAAATGGAAGCTAAAGTGGGAAAGGAGAAAGGAGGAAAGACAAAAAAGAATAAACCACAGTCAATTAGGGGACTCAACCGTCTTTCACGCAGCAGGAAACTTGAGAATCTGTTTCACATGGTTCACTAGTTAAGGGACTCAAATGCCAACTGGCAGCCTCCAAATCAAGTTGATCTCTGACCCTGATCTGCAAATGTCTCGCTGAACCCTACTGTAGTGGATGTGACTATGCAGGTCTCATCTCATTCCACAATGGCTTTCTGGTGCCCCACATCCAACAGGGAATAAAAAGTACAGAACAGAAAGGAAGGAAAGGAAAAGATCTCAATAAAAAGAGAACGAGTGGTTTCATAGGTAGTAATAATCTAAAAGTTACAGTAGGTCCCAAGAATAGCATCAACCACCACCTCACTGCCATTTGGTTCTCTGTAGATCAAGGAATCCCCAGACATCCAAGAATATGAGTTGTGGTATGTAGGAAAGCCTAGTTTATGCCCTGCCAACTTTTAAAGGGAAGGATGTAAGGGAGAGAGAGAGAGAGAGAGAGAGAGAGAGAGAGAGAGAGAGAGAGAGATAGAAACAAGAAGATAGAAGAAGAAAAAAAAGCATGAGAGAGAGAGAGAGAGAGAGAGAGAGAGAGAGAGAGAGAGAGAGAGAGAAGAAAGAGTAGAAACAAGAAGATAGAAGAAGGAAAGGAAGCATTTCCTCCAGGCCTGAAGAGACAAGTGGAATGTGGCAGGCCAGAGTAGTACTCTAGAAAAAAGAAAATCTAGGCAGCTGATAGTCACTATTGAGATCCTGTTTAGAAGCCCCAGACCCAACAAGTCTCACCCTGAGCTTGTTTCATACAGTCCCGGCAAAGTCACAAAGTGATGCTGGCCTGTTAGAAAAGAAAAAGCCAAGCTTTTTATTGACTTATTGTGGTTGGGGATGGCCTGGTAATATTCCACTGGTCTTGAGTGTATTATTTTCTCAAGGAATTTCTTCCTTATGCAAGATATGGTTCAACGTTTATTTAGTTTATTCTGGAAGATGTTATGGCATCAATCCTGACTCTTGCAGGATATTGAACTTGATCTGTTGTCAATCAGTCCCTATGATAACAACTTGAAGAACTGGAGTTTAGGAAGAAATACACACCATATTCTAATGAATAACAGGCCATGAGTTAAGGCCCTAGGAGTGCACTTGCTCTTTTTCCCAATAGTGGTCCCCAACTGACTCAGTAAAAACAGTGAACATAATATCAGAGAGAAATAGGAACTATTTTGAAGTAACAGAATAATAAAATAGAAAGTGTCTTCACTATTACAGTATTTTAGCCTGTATAGTCAGAAAGAGTATCACTGAAGAAGTGACCTAAGTGTGATTTGAAGCATTCAAAGTAACCAGACATTTGCAGATCAGAGAAAAGCTATCAGATAGAAGAGTGAGTTAAAGTAAAATCCCACAGTTGAAAAGGCTAGGAACACTCAAGAAGCAAATTTTGAAAAGTCAGCAGGACCAAAACACGTGTGATAAATAGGAAGGTAAAATGAGCTGAGGCCAAACAGGTAGGCCAGACATTATAGGACCTTGCAGAATATGAAGAAAGAGAGATCTACTAATGCTATAAGAAGGAGAACTGAAAAACTATTCCATGCTTTAAAAGAAAATCACTCTTGTTTCTGGAAAGAAATACAATTACAGGAACATAACAGTAGAGAAGTAAATCAGTTCAAAGACGTGTTTTAGTGATCCAGGAAAGAGGTGACTGGTTTGGACTAGGTCATAGACAGGATTTATTTCAGAGGTAGAGAGACCAAATGTTTATATATAGTTTAGAGCCAACGAATAAGGGAAAAAAAATAAAAGCACAGACATTTACTGGGGATATAATTTATCAGGATGAGTACAAATATGGAAGTATCAGCTCTAGGAAAGGACATCAAGAGTGCTATGGACCCTAATTATCCCTCTACTAACCACAATGGTCTTCTTTGGCCCTTCTGCCAGCTAACCACATAAAGACTACCCATTACAAATAAAAAATTCCTCATTTTTTCATGTATTTTCATGGATTCATGGTATTCCAATTGATTTTATTCTTCCTACGATCATCTTCCACACTCCTTGTGGATACGATGCATACTGAGTTGAAGCAACACCTTTGTGAAGCCTGACCTTATACCCCCAGGCACAGTTAATAACTCTTCTACTCTTATTATTAGTTTACATGGCATTATTAAGCCATATTTGATTTGTATTGTAAATATGCTGTAAATCATTATTTGCATGTTTATCATTCTGAATCAAGCCTCTTATAGATGGATTTCACATCTGATATTCCTAGAACTTAGTAAATGACTGATATGTCTTATGTGCTCAGTAAATGGCGATAAACATACAAATTAAGCATCATGCATTGTGCAGGGCATTGGCATGGATTATGTCCTCATTTCAAAAAATTAATGAAATCTATGCCAGAAATTATGTGATACACTCAATTTTAATCTGGCAAAATCTCTGCCTATGAAAAGCTATGGGCCAGAGAGACTGAGCAAATTGTCCAGGGTTATATAATAGGTGACAAGAGTAGAAACTGTTAATAGGTCTGAAAACACATAATGTTCTCTATGTTACACCAATAATTTTGGAATTTTAAAGTTATGATTCCCATATGGTAGCCACTAGGAAGAACTGCTTATTAAGCAGATGACATGCTGCTTGTCTAAAAGAAATGTCCTGTAAATGCAAAAATATACAACCTAAATTTCAGAATTTGTGTAATATTAAAATGTAAAAATATTGATAATAATAATAATATTTACATGTGGAAATGATAACATTTGAAATATGAGGCTAAATAAAAATTATTAACATTAATTTCCTCAATTTATTTTTTGGCCTCTTTAAAGTGGTTGTTAAAAATGTTAAATTGCAAACATATTTTATGCTGTATCCTTTTACTGCTATTCTAGAGATTATATTATATCTGAGAAGGGACACATCCACACATAGAAACAATCAATAATAAAACAAAGGATATGATCAATGTAAACGAAGTGTTTTAGGACTTTACTGATCACAAAAGATCTCTTTTAAAATATGGGAATAGGGAAGATAACATTGAAGAATAAGGTTGATTTTAATGAAACAGATAAAAAAATTTAGTAGAAAACAGAATTATCAAAGTATGAAAATGAAGCAAGGAACATGGCAAGAAGTCAGTGTAGTATTTTATAACTATAGACTAGGTGTAGTGGAGCCAAATACATTAAGGAAGGAAAGGTACAGTGGAGATGATCAAAGTCAGGGAAAATAAAGCAGATTTTTTTCTCAAAGTTGTATAAAGCTATTGTGTGTCTTAAACGGGGAGTAGGACGGAGGGGATAAAGAGGCTATTTCATTATCAGAAAAGTTTCAAAAGCAAACTGAAAATAAAATTTTGTAAGAAAGTTAATAGATTATCTGGATAAGGTTGAGAAATTAGAATCAGAAAAGGAAGAGGGGCTGATGAAAATCATTTGAACTTCATATTTGACTCAAGGTTCCAAATGCTAAAATGCAATGATTCAGAACATGACCTTAAGAATAAGACAAACTGTTTCCCTTCCTCCCTTCCTCCCCCCCCACATCTCTCTCTCCTGTCATTACGTCTCTCTGTATGGTTTGTGACAGATTCATCTTGGTTTCAAAATCTACTTTCATCATTACCTAATCAGTTAACTCTGAACTGTTCTTTTAGTAACAAATCATTGTTTTTTACAGTGCACTTAGGACATTATTAAAATAAATATTATGAAATAACTTACTGATATTATTTGGAGAGTTTTATTTGCACCTCAGAATAGGTGTAGATATATAAACATTTAATGTGATTCTACTAAGCATCAGGTATTGTCATATATTTTTCTCATTTATTCCTACTTACACCTCAAACAAGCAATCTGAAATTATAGGTTCCACAAGAGAAGCCTTAAAACAGCTAAAATATCTTATTTAGTTCTATTATCCACATCTTTATTTCCTTCATTGCTCTACAAAGAGAAAATTCTCTATTCTACAGCCTTATTAATAAGTTTCTATAATGTGCCAAGTGAAGTATCTTAGAATTCATTAATAAATATAAAATAAGACTCAGGCTCAGTGATAGAACATTTGTCTAGCTTGTATGGCTCTGTGTTCGATCCCCAGTACTCTGAATATTAACACACACACACACACACACACACACACACACTGACATAAGAATGTGATAACACTCTAATATTAAAAGAACACTCCTTGGGCCGGGGTTCTGCCCCATGCCTCACAAGCACAGGAGCCCAAGTTTGATTCTTGGTACAAAAAAAAAAAAGAATACTCCTTGAGTGTTATTTATATTTGAAGTATCAGTAAAACATATTCAATATTTATGGCATATATCTCAAAATATGTATATAATTTTTATTGGTCAAAACAGGGTATTTAATATTGCCATCTGTTTGTCTGGATATTATGTTTGGAACTTCCTGGGTTACTATAAACTAGAATCACTCCATAAAGATGGACAATTATCTCATGTTAATAAAACTGTTTTTAACTTTAAAGAGATTAAAAAGCTAACTACTCTGATTTTAGCATTATACACTGTATACATATATTAAATTATATCATACCTCATAAATATGTACAATTAAAATAATAATACATAAAACTAAATTTAAAAATAATATCAGAGGTTAATAAGAAATTTTGAACTCAAAATTATCCAAATTATAATGCTATCAATCAATATTATATGAGAGGTATTCATTATTTTATTTAATGCCCACAGTATAAATCACATTATAGGGTAAAAGCTCTAGTTAAAATTAAGGGTTTCTCTCAGCACATCAAGTATTAATCACAAGTTGAGTCATTTAGCTTAAACTTTAAGTCATACTAAAGCTAGAGTTACATAAATTAAAGGAGCTCTTTTAAGGTGTTAAGCAAAAAATAGGAATCTTCAAGAAACATATCAATATAGCTTCTTGTCCACCTATATATACTTAAATTGTCAAATTCTTTCTTTCTAATGGAAGTTGCCTCACATTTTTGCCAGATACTAATGATTTTCACCATACACATGAATTAATGTTGATCCAGAAAGACCAAAATTTTAATATTGTTTTTTATATTTTAAATATTAATATTAACTATTAATATTCAATATTTCTGTTTTTCATATTGTAAAGCAGTAGGTATCGACATTATTGTATTATAAAACTAGGTCAAATTAGAAGTTGCTCTTACTGAAAAAAGTCATAATTCTTCCCAATTTTACTTGGATTATATACAATTTTCTCAAAACAGTAAACTTTCATTCAGCAGTTCTCCCCCCATGGATCCCCTCCCAAAAAAATAAAAAGAAACATAAGCTTCGGGTAAGTCACTGTGAAGGTCAGAGAAAGATAATCATGTTTGCTCACCAGAACTCTGAAATCAGAGAAGCATTTTAAGCCAAGGTCCTTTCACATTTCCAATATAAATAGTACGTGTTGTGCTGCTGGACACTGAAACGTAAGATGTCAACAAGACCAGATTGTGAAACAGTGGACCATATCAAATCATATGACAGAAACCTTTTGTTTCAAGACAAAAAGGGGGAGGAGATGGAATCTATACAAAATTCAAAAATAATTAAAACTTACCATTTTGACGCATTTAATTCAGCAATTTCCCAAACTCACAGTTCAGTGTTTTTTCATCATAAAATGACAAAACTTTCCCAGCTACTGTTATGCTTTCTCTTTGTTTTGGAAGAAAAATGTTGTATCCAGGATTTAATGGATTTTCTATAGTTTCTTTTTTAAAGTATGTATTCTTAGAGACTTGCTCCAACTCTCTGCAACTAATTTGTACAATTAGTGTAATATGAGCTCCACAATGACACCAGATTGTACATCATCACCATTGTTTCTTCAGTAAGTCACTGTCTTGCTTTCTCTGCTAAATTTGCTTCTCTGCTGTGTTTTCTAGTTACATTGTACTTCTTCCCTTGTTTGCTTTCTATTTCTGCAATATCCTCTCACATTTTCTGCCAATCATTTGTTTTTGCCTGAATTCTATATATCAATATACTGGGAGAAACTTTTGCTAAAATAATCTTAGAGGTCACATTAACATATGACTGGGTCAAATTAGCTAAATAAAATGAGTCTGGAAAGTAAATCAAGAAGCAAAATAAAAAAATGTTTGTATTTTGTTTCTTTTTTAGACAGGGTCTCATTAATAGCCCATGCTGACCTCAGACTCATGATCTTCTAATGTCTCAGTCTCCTAAAATCTGGGATTACAAGTACAACTGGCTGCAATCACAACTGCCTCCTCAGAAATCAAATTTTAAATCAAAGTTTTACCATCTAACATACGAGCCTTAGATAAAAGAGTAATGTTTGTAGATTTCATTTAGGTTCTAATTTAGGAAATGAGGATGATGGCATTTTAATAAATATGATAAATACAAAGACAAGTAATGTTAAAAATAACAAGTGTTGCTTTTGACATTTCTATACTTTATCTTTTTGATTCTCATACATATATACACACTCTGCAAAACAGAATTATAACTATCTATATCTTTTTTTTTCAGAGTAAGAAAAGTTTATTGAGAGAAATATAGCTTTTGTCTAACAGAGACAGGAGGTCCGGAAAATGGGTTACCCCAACTATCTGTATCTTTAAAGTAAGGAAAAAGATCCACTGAAAAAGCAAATGATAAGATATGTCCATATAAATTGTTGAAAATGTTGGGAATAAAATTCAAATCCCAGCAGTTCATTTCCACAATGAGCTCTTATTTTCAGCTTCCCTTTTCAGATTTCTATAACAATCAAATCAAATATTATTGGGAAAATAATTTAGGACATATAAAGTTTCGTTTAATAATATATTTTGAAAATTTATGTAGTAGAATTATTCTTGGCTTTTTTGTCTTACAAATGTTCACTCTAAATGACAACTTTTTGTTACCATTTTTATTTCTGATCTCACACTTACACATAGAGTTTTTTTTCACAAATATTTGGTATTCCTTCCCTGTGAAAAAAATATAATACTACTCTATTAAATAGGCTTTAGCAAGAAATGTAAAAAAAAAGTTTTCCTTAGAAGCCTCCTGAATTAAAGCATTTGTTAAAATTAACTTTTATTAATATTGCAAGGAAACTAATTTTCCTTGTGATTGGAGATAAACATGATAGCTAAATTTGGTTCTTTCAAGCCGCTGAAAATTTTGAGTATTTGTGTTAATACAGAATAACCTATTCCTACTGATTAATACAACAATTAGGTTCCCATTATCATGTTTTTTCCTCACTTTATTTTGTTTTAATGGGTCTCAAAATTCTGTGACAGAGACCCTTGTAAGGTCAGGTTCCTGTAACCCCCTGCCCAGTGTGCGATGCAGGCCTGAGAAAAATAATGCACTAGGAGACGGAACTAAGAGAGAGAAAGCAGGATGCCAGGACAACCAGTGCCGGTACAACCAACAAAGGCCCTGGCCAGTCTCAGGCACTGACTTTTACTGGCAATCAACTGGGGTAAAGACAACGTGTGGTTTCTATGGAAATTAGTGTAAACAAGGCTCATAAAGGACAAGACAAAGCATTCTCAAGTTAGGAACAGAAGAGACATAATATATGCTTGTAATTTGAACACTGTCCTTCTAGTCTCGAGGTTTTATTGTGGGAACAGAATTTGGGTGTGAGTTACTCTGACCTCAGCACGTAGGCTTCAGCAAGACTCATTTCTACAGATAAGCCAATCGTGGGGTTAATTTTTTACAGCCTGCTTTGGACATAGTTAATATTATAGTCCTCTACAATTCTGTGACAGATTTTTGGTAAAGTTACTTACATTAAAAAATGTTGACTTTAAAAACTAATACAAGTGACACACACACACACACACACACACACACACACACATGGTCTGAAAAACATTCTCCTTTCCTTCTGAAGATTTATGATCCATAACTATCATTAACTAGTCTTTTATTATTAGACTTAAATGACCCTTATAGAGAAAGAATTCTGAGACCAACATTCTGCCACTGATTAACACTGTGGCAGCAGGTGTTAAGGATTATATTCATTTAGCCTTCTGAGACTTGGTGACCTTGCCAGCTCCAGAAGCCTTCTTGTCCATTGATTTGATGACACCACGGCTACTACTTGACTTGTATTTCAAACAGCAAAATGACCAAGACAAAGATAGTCAGAGAAGCCCTCAACACACATGAACTTTGCTAGAACCATATCTGTGATGCCAGTTTCTCCAGATTTCAAGAATTTAGGGCCACCGCCCAGCTTCTTACCAGACTGACAATCAGTCTTTTCTTTCAGCCCAGCCAACTTGCAGCAATGTGAGCTGTGTGAAAATCCAGTACAGGGGCAGAGAGAGTGCTGGGTTGGCCTGGTTGGTTCAGGATAATCACCTGATCAGTAAAACCAGCTGCTTTCATTGGTGGGTCAATTTTCCTGTCACCAGCAATGTTGCCACAATAAACACCTTTGAGAGACACATTCTTGATATTGAAGCCCACATTGTTCCCAAGAAGAGCTTCACTCAAAGTTTCATGGTGAATTTCATCAGTCTTTACTTCAGTTGTGATACTGACTGGAGCAAAGGTGACCATCATGCCAAGTTTGAGAACACTAGTCTCCACTCAGCCCACAGGGACAGTACCAATACAACCATATTTGTAGACATCCTGGAGGGGCAGTTGCTAAGGCTTGTCAGTTGGGCAAGTGTGGTAAGATGCAATTCAAAGCTTCAAGCTGTATGGTTCCACTGGCACTGCCATCTATATAAATGACTTTCCAGCCCTTGAACCAAGGCATATTAGCAGTTGGTTCCAGCATCTTGTCACCATTCGAAATGGAAGTTGGCACAAAAGCCACTGTGTCTAGGTTAATTTTCTTATTGTAGGCACCAATTTCCGTAACAATTTCTTCATATGTCTCTGGTTGTAGGGTGGCTCAGTGGAATTCATTTTGTTAACACAGACAATTAGTTGTCTCACACTAACATAATTCATGAAATAAATAATTGATCAACTGGACTTCCATACAATTAAAAATTTTGCCTTGTGAGAAGCACTATTGACAATAAAAACATGAGCCACAGACTGGCAGAAAATATGTGGAAAATGTATATAAAGAAATGTTAGGCAAAATGTACAAAGAGCTCTTGACTCTCAATGAAACAGACACCTCAATTACATAAGGGACAATGGATTTGAGCAGACACCTCATGAAAAAAGATTATCATGGTGAGTAACCATGTGAAAAGTGTTATATGTTGTCCAGAAATTTCAAATTAAAATAATAATGATACAACTACACACTTATTGGAATATGTCACACGTTGAGGAGGTAGAGCAACAGTGATTAACAGTGATTAATATTCATTGCTTCTATTAATGCAAAATGGAGCAGCCAAAATTAACATATTCTTGTCATGTAACATAGAAACCATGTTCTTTGGTAGTTGTTAGAATGAGTTAAAACCTTAGGCCCACAGAAAGACCTACACACCAAAGTTTATGGAAGCTGTATTTATAATTGCCAAAATTTGGTAACAATTTGTATTTTCATAGGTCAATGTGTAAAGTGGTATGCCCATACAATGAAAGTTTAAACAATAATGAGAAATGATCTACTAAGTCACAAAGGAAACATGTACTAAAAGACAATTTTAAAGATCTACATATTGTATGATTCCATACATACTGTGTGATTCCAAATATGTGGCATTCTTTAAAAGTTGAAATATGAATAACATAAAGGCATCAATGATTGCCCTGGCTCAAGAGAAGTACAGGATATCATTGTAAGAAAAGGTCTAAAGCTGTTGGGAAAATGGGATGGGTGGGGGAAAGGTAAAAAGGGAAGATAAAAAATAAGGGAAAAGGAAAAAAATGGAAATGGAGTCTTTGTAAATAGGGAAGGGGGAAAGGAGTAGGGAGGCTAGGAGAATGGGGAGAAAATAAAAACCAAGATACATCAGGTAAAGGTACAAGATCCCAATGATGAATATATCTGTATTGTATATCTAAAATCTATCAATAAAAATATATATAAAAGAGAAGCACAAGGATAAACAGGTAGAGCGTGAAATATTTGTAAAGTAATAAAGCTACTCCATATGATATTTTAATAGTGGATATATATCATTGTGCATTTGTCAAAACTTATATGGTGAATGCTCAAAATAAAGCATTCACAACAATATAAACTTTTGTTTATAAAGACATGTCATTGTAGATTCATCAGCTGAAATAAATGTACCATTCTGGTTCAGGGTGCTGATAACAGGTGTGGTTGTGTTTTGATAGGTGTAGAGCATATAATAGAACTGCAATTGTCATTCATATTTGCTGTGAACCAGAAACCTGTCATAAAAATAAAGTTTATTAAAATTTTAAAACAAATAATTTTGAAAGGGATATCAGGTCCTATTCTCTAAAACCTATCAATATAACCATGTTGTTAGAAAGGCTCT